CCTAGACGAGTCTCTATATGATCCCCTGTATAACCCCCCCTTTTAAGGAGTTGAGAGCATAGACCCTATACCCTAAACCCTAAACCCTAAACCCCAAACCCTGAACCCTAAACCCTATATAACCCCCCTTAAGGAGTTTAGACTATAGCTCATATACTTTATTTTGGGGTTCGGGTAAGGCTTTGAGCTTCTGGGTTGCGCCTTGAAGTAAGGCGTTTCTGGTGAAGGCCTGACGGGTTGGGGATCGCGGCTGAGTAACCTCAATTACCTAACGTTTAGAGTTTAGGGTTTAGGGTTTGGGGTTTAGCGTTTAAGGTTTAGAGTTCAGGGTTTAGGGCTTAGTGGCTACTACCCCTGGATTAACAATCCCAACACCTGAAACCGTAACTGATAGGTATATCCCATAAAGACTGTAGGTAATCCGGGTTACAGGTCAGCCCTTTCGAGTTTTGGGCTTAAGCCTCAGGAGTTGAGAGCGACACACAGATGTTAGAGGTTCCAAACGGTTCAAGTTCCTTTGGTGCTACTAACCTTAATCCCAAAAATCGAATCCCTAAAACTCAAGCCATGTGAGCTATAGCCTAAACTCCTGGTATCCCCCTTAATAACCCCTATAATAGTCCCCTCTATAATCCCCTATATACCCCGTTTTAAGGAATTAGAATCCCAAACCCCAAACCCTAAACCCCATATACCCCTAAACCCTAGCCCCTAAACCCTGTATCCCTAAACCTCAAACCATGTAGGCAGAAGCTGTCTAGGAAGGTGCTGCCTTCTAAGATGTGGCCGTATCCATAGATCGGGGGGTCTGACCTAAACTCTCAGGGGGCTCAGAAGGTGGGATGAAAGTAGGTGAGGTCAAGGAAATAAGCCCCAATATACACTCCCGGAAACCAACATGGAAACCCAAAAAGGGCCCCATAAAGACTGCAGTCCTTTTAACGGGGGGCTATATGGATTTCCATGTTAGTTTGGGGGAGTGTAGTAGAATCTACAATAGGGATCCTTTAGCCCACCTAGCTTTATCCCACCTTTTGACTCTCCTGAAACTCTAAACCCTCTGTTAGCCCCTACACCCTTTAAAGGGACCCTCGGATGGGTCAGGCACCTTCAGATGTGTCAGGCATAAGGATTTTGAAGCATTAATTCTTGTTCCCTCTAGTAGTGGCAAGTATAAGTTCCTATTGCTTACTGGCTTTTAGTAAACTGAAAATGAAAGCTAGTTTCAACAATGAACCAGGCATGGTCTAAACAGAATTTAAATTTCCGAATCTCAAATTTAGGGCTCGGGGCCGGTCTATTTGGGGCTCAATCTGAGATCAGAAAAAGACATGTCTAGTCTTAGGGTGGGTTTAGGGTTTAGGGTTTAGAGTTTGGGGTCTTGTTTGGGTCCTGAAATGTCACCCCTGCCGCCAGCGGCACCACCCTCAGCCCAAAACTCAGCAATATCCTCTACTTTCCGTGGCGGTTCTTATCTGCTCTTACCACATGCATGGATTCCCCTGGTAACCCCTCCCTGTATATATATATATATATGTATATGTTGCGCTCCTCCGGCTCAACATTGCTTAACCCTAATTCGCCTTAAGCAACCTGAATTAAGGGGGAACCTGGGGGGGCGGGGGAAGCATAGGGTGGGTAGTAGGGAAAGCCATAACAATGGAATGATTCAGGTGGACCCCCCACCCAGTAATAGTGACTATAAGGGGCAAGACGGATTATATTAAAGTCCTCTTACCTTCCCACTATTACAGGATGGGGGGTCCTCTTGAAGAAGAATTGCCGTGAGCCTGAACCCTGAGCCCAAAACCACAGCGAACCTATAGTCCCCAATAAGTAAACAGCAGATAGCTCTGAGTATATTGTAATAAGATCCCCTAAAAACCCAATTTTCTATCTACCCTAAACCCTAAACCTTAAACCCAATGAATTTCACCTCCAAGCAGCACATCGAGAAGTAGACGCGGCGGAAGTGCTCGATGTCCTGCACACCATGGGCGTTCCCAAAAATTAAAGGTCCCTTTGAGGGGTTTAGGGTTCAGGGTTCAGGTTTTGGGGGTCCTAAAATAGAGATGAGGGTTTAGGGTTTAGGGTTCAGGTTTTAGGGGTCCTAAAATAGAGATGATAGTATATTCGGGTATATAAGGTGTAACCTATTCCTGGCAACTCTCACAAACTTGGAGGCTTGACTGGGTGTGGCTTCAGGACTGCTAATCTTACGGTTCTAGATTCCTTGTATGCTTATGGCATAGGGCACCTCAAATAAACCCTAAGCCCTAAACCCCTTCATACTCAACCTTCAACCCTAAACCCTGAACCCTAAACCCCCAACCCTAAACCGTAAGCCCCTAAACCCGAACAACCCTCAACATGGTCTGGGTAATCCGTTCAGCTCCTGCATTCTCGTGTTAAGCTTCTCCTTAAGGGTCCAAGGACCCAAATAATAGGGTTTTTAGGGCCCAAACACTGTAATTTTCATGGTATTTGGGCCCGAAAACCCTGTTATTTGGGTCCTTGGACCCTTAGGGTCTGGTACAAACCGTATCTGAACTTTTCAACAAAGAAGCCTGCGTGGAGATTTCTCAAAATAGGGCCCGGCCAGCTCAAGCTATCAGATCCTCACTACAAATAATGCGACCGCATCCCAGAATTTTTGAGATATGCATAAACAGGTACACCTTCAGTCGTTTGCGTGCGACGCAAGTGAGCATGAGCAAAAGAAGCAAGGTGCTTCATGTTTTAGAGCACACCGTGAGCCTTAGTAAAAAACGTGAGCACCTTTGTCGTGTCCCAAAAAGTCTTTGCAATCCCATAGGTCACGCGCTGGGCATCAAGCCTAAACTTACAACCCTCTAAACCGTAACTTCCAAACGCTAAACCCTAAACCCTAACCCCTAAATGTCTTCCTGTTTAGGGTTCAGCGCTGCTCCGCATACCCTCGTAAACCCCACACGTTCAGGAATGGAAAAAACCAGGCCTTCGGGTCACACTCGTCCATGTGCCAGAACCTGTAGCATCAGGTATTAGGATTTATGGGAACGTGGGGCTTCCCTGGACCCTACGCAGGCAATCGGTTTGGGGAGATCGAATGTATTGCAAAAAAGCTTACTGGTGCTTAGTAGGGAATAACGGAATATAATCCCTACATGAATCCCAGAAAATAGAACTACCAGGAACAAGCATGATCATAACCATCCCATGCGAAACAACAAACCAAATCCCCAATGACCAAAACTGCGCCCGATGTCCTAAGAATTGTTTAAGGGTTTAGGCGGTTCGGGGCTCTACCAGATCCAAGCACGGTAGCCAGGATGTTGGGGGCCCTCTAGAGCCTATGTGTCGTATGGACTGAGGATTTAACATCCAGTAGGGGCATACCCCACCTGCGCTCAAACGTCACAATACGTTCCCTAAACACCCAGGGGAGCTCCATTCGTCCATTCTCCATAGGCACCCCTCGCATTGTCTTACCAGTATGGGTGTAAAGGTTGACGTGTTCATAGGTTGTGGGCGGGATGTGAATTTAGGGTTGAGGCCTTAGGGTTTGGCACTGCCGGTTTAGAGTTTAGGCCTTATAGGGCTTCGGGTTTCGGATTTAGGCCGGGGGGAGCATGTGGGGAGTGCAGGGCTTTAATTTTTTGAAAGTGGAGGAGGCGTAGTGACGAAGCCTGAATGGTTACACATCTTATTCCCTTATGCATACAGCCACTTCTAGTAAACGCACCCAGAACATGTTCCAATCGTGTAAGCCGCTACATGAGGGTGTTGAATGAGGGTTTAAGCGCGGGCACAAAGGATTGGTGCTTTGAGACACGAATCTGGACAGTTAAGGGCTGGTGGCCTTGTATTTCAAGCAGTTTCTGGCAGTGCCACCATAAACCCTATCCAACAAGTGGCAGCGGAGTTGTGGCAACTAAAGGTGTCTGTTTTTTTTGCACCTGTGTTGGGTGTTTCCGATTTTGGATGTTGGAGTTTAAGGTTCTTTTACGTCTGCCATGTGCTACCCAAAGTCTGTTGATAAAATTTGAAACTCTTCGCGTCGCAGGTTGGAGCATGGGGTTGAAGTTTGACGTTCAGCTCCTCGCGTACATCAGGAAGGGCCAAACCTTTCAACATATGTTGATTTTCCCTGTGCGTCCACAGCTACACCCCCTCGAAACAGGCCCCTGGACTCTTTTCCAAGCCCCAGGCCCCGGCTTCCTCGGGTCGGTCCCGCGTGGAGCCGTACGCGTGGCACGAGTCACCGTACTAGGTTCTAACCGGTTCGGGTGGAACCTAGAACCTCTAGAGCCTAAACCCTTAAGCGGCTAGAACTGGCACTGCCAAGGAGTTCGAGGGGCTCAGGAGGAGAGGACCTTGGAGGCCCAGCCCATGATCTGATCACACGATGATGTTTGCTAACCGCTTGAGAGTGGAAAGTGGGAAGATTGATCTTGAGGGGGGGCCTGAGGGCGTAGCCCATAACCCCAACAGGAAATAGTTTTGGGTGATAGGCTGTGATGTCTCACAGCAGGTGGGGAGCCTAAAGAAACCCAGCTTCGATGGATTCCTGGACAATCTCCACAAGGCTGGCTTGACGGAGGACATGCCGACTCCCGCAGATCCCTGAAAGCGCAGTGGCCGTCGGCGCATGGCTACTCAGCCCTTTGCAAACAGACGTCCTGAACCCTAAACCCTAAGACCTGAACCCTAAATCCCAAACCCTAAACCCTAAACCCTAAACCCTAAGCGGCGAACCCTAAACCCTAGAGCGCCAAGGGGCTGCTTG